AAAACGTGAAGCGACATAATATTTCAAATATACTATCAAGACTTTGTTATCTGCTGATCGAATGAAGATCGGAAATTAAAAAAAATTTCATTTTTCAAGGTAAACTTGTTAGCCATTATATATGCAATCAATCAAAGTAACAATATTAACCTAACAATTAAATTCTCATCAGTTTAATTCATTTTCAAAAAATCGATATAGCGATTATTACATATTTCATGAGCTGAGAAATCAAGCAACAGAATCTTTGGGTACTCCTAATACTAGTTATATTTCATAATTACTAGCAAACAAGAAATTAAAAAAGAAAAAAAAACTCTGAGAAAGGTAAAAAAGAATGTTTATAATTTTTTAAAATTTAAATTTATGAGAAACCTACTTGTGGATTGATTACAAGCGTTGGTGTTTGCAATTTCACGACACCATTATCACCTGTTACATCCATTTCTAAGTTATAGATATTTTCGGCACGACGTAACATTGCATTTGCATTATACTTATAACCTTGCTAAAATATATTCGTTTTTTTAAAAAAAAATTAAAAAATTTATATGTTACTTGCAACTAATTGTGTTCACTTGGTTATTTACAAACTAATTTTAAGTTATACGTGTAAACCGATCTTACGCTACACGTGTAAACAAACCTTACGTCATAGTATAAACCAATCTTACGTCATACGTGTAAATCAATCGTATCATCATACGCATATTTTGAAATTTAAAACATAAATATGCATTAAAATTACATTGTCAATACTGAAACTGATTTTCCCTTCGTTATCCACCACTTTTCCTAATTTAGTCAAATAACCTATATCAGTATTTTGTAATGATAAGGTTTCGTGTCCTTTAATCACATACTGATTGTTGATATTACTTTCTGCATCACAGTTCCAAAAAGTATGACCTTTTTGACAATCGAACATAACCTGAAATATATAACGAATGAATATTTCGATAAGACATATTATGCTGATAAGAGATATATTCTTAATAACTGTATACCGGTGATAAAGTTCAGTAGTATGTGCATAAAAACTTTGCTCATAATGTCACTTATTTTCATTTATGTTAATTTTAATTTGTTTGTTGAAATCGAATTATCAATATTAGCCAAAACGCTTCATAAATTTTCAATCATGCTAATTTTAATTCATTTATTGGAATTACCAAGTTGGGCAAAAACATTTCGTAAATTTTTAATTACTCTATTTTTAATTCATTTACTAAAATCGAATTACTAATGTTGAACAAAAACACCTCATAAATGTCCCACTCATATACTATCATAAATAACAAAAATTATTATCATGATTTTAAAATTTTTTACCTTGCCATATTGAATCATTTGAAACGTTGATGATGCGCTAATGTCTATTTTAACTTCTCTATCACGATAAATCGTTACTATATCCATGTTCATCTCTTTTTCATTAAATCTTAAATGTTTCTTCAATATCCTTTCTCCATGGTTATGATTATATTCTATCGTATCCTTCAATACTATTTCATTTCCCTAAAAATTAACTTATTCAACAAGAATTTATCATGAAAAGAAAAAAAAAGTAATAAAACGAATATTTAATCGAAAAAAAAACTTCAATCATTAATTTGATCATTGATCTTTTTGGTGCTTATATATTTATCAGTAATCTTATCTTTTTTAAACAATATTTTTAACTTTTTTTCGAAATTTTCTCACCTAATTCATTTTGTATACAGTTGGACACTTCTTTTTTTTCTTTTTGTAAATATATTAATATCATTTTACTTTTCACTAACTAACTTTGCCATTTATAAGCATATTACTAAAATAATTATTTAATTGATAATTTTAAAATTTGAAAAATTCACGATAAGATCAGTAGCAATGCTAAATGATCTATCATCATTCTTTATTTCATTCGTTAAATTCAATGTTTTTCCAGCACCAATAAGTTTAAAAATTGTTTTTGCTTTCCGCATTGTAATAGCTTTTTCCACTTCAAATTGTTGTTCGAAGTTTATCCGGCTCTGTAAAAACTTTGATTGAGTATCTGAGAAGATATTTTATCTATGTAAATAATTCAAGAAAGTTAAATAATTAATACGGCCAAGTACCGAATGTATTATGGGAGTAAAAAACGGATCAGGATAATAACTCTCGGAATGGATGTTACGAAAAAAATTTACTGTAACTAATTTAAAAAAAGAAAAAATCAAATAAGTTATATAGCTAAGGATTGGATATATTGTGAGACTATGAAACGGATCAGGAAATGTAATCTAGTTATTACCAATAACTGATTGTCCCCATGTATTATCGTTATCAATCAGGAAAAATTTTTCTAAGCAAGTAATACAGTCAAGTACCATATTAAGTGAGAAAAGAAAAAATGTTAAGAATAACTTGAGGTGTTGCAAATTCGCTGCTATAAATGTAATTTCTGCCAAGATCATGCAATATTTTACGCCAATGACCTTCAATAGCATACCGATTATCATTTACTTCAAATAATCCTTCGATATTTGCCTGAAAAGTAAAACTGGATATATTGAAGAGAAAATTATCACCCTAACAATACGAAATAGTTTCCGGAAACCGGAAAATTCATTTATCATAAACAACAATATATATCAATATAATAAAACACAAAAATCAAATTAACCAATCTAGTACAAGAATCAAGTTGACCAATTAAGCATTATATGACCTTGTGCTTGAGCAATTAAGGACGACGTTATATAATGTTATGAAAAGTTACCTTACACTTATGAATTTTTAAATTTACAATATTTGAATTTCAATTTACCAAATTTATCAATTTTATAACCTGATCTGTTCTATAAAGAAAGCCTGTTTTTGCTTTAATTGATCGTCGTTCCAGAGGTTTATCAGTATCCAAATGACCATCAATTTCAAAAAAGTCCCAACGAAAAGGAGTTGCAGTGAGTACTGTTGAAATTGTTCGAATACGATCTTTATCCAAATTACTGAAATGATATGAAATGAAAGTTTCATAATCTTTCTCTATAGATCTTCAAAATGTCCCAATTTGTCACTTTCACTTTTTGGCCATAAAATGAACTTAAATAAAAATGCAATATTTTTAACTAAGTAATGATACAAATAGGATATTTAAAAGTTTTTAAGGACTGGAAAATATAACATTAGCTATTGCATTTAGCATGAAATAAGTAAGATCAATTAAAAATTAACCATTTAAAAATTGTTTTATCATATTGATGATCAAATTGCATGTTAAGATTAAGATTATCATCTGATTGTACTTTTACCATATAAGATGAACCATATGTATGCTTTGATTGATTGTACTCAATCGCTACCTTACGTGGTCTCTAAAAATAAACCTGGATAATTTATCATCACAATTTGATATACAGTTAATTTATTGCATCAAATTTTTATCTAATATATAATAACTTCTTTATGTTAAGAAGTTTTTGCCATTTTGACCCAATTAACCTTTAAATAATTTGAAAAGATAAATCTATCGTGTTATCTTTTTCATTTATTTGAAACATTCTGATAGAAAAGATCTGTTTTATTGATTATTGTTCTTTAATCATTATCATATCATGATAAAATATCTCTTGATTGTTTCTCATATCATGTCATGATAAAATATCTCTTGATTGTTTCTCATATCATGTCATGATAAAATATCTCTTGGTTGTTTCTCATAGGAATTTTTTTTCTTTTTTAATAATTCTCATTATTCAATTAGCCATTAGCAAAATGAGATAATTAAGTATACATTTTGATAAATCCAATTGAATTCTCCTCGATATTGCTGATTAGGAAGGTTGAATTTTTTTCGGCACTACAATATTACCTGTACCAAAATGATGTCCATCTTTGCGTATGGTAGCTAACGCTGTCATGCTATCTGTTGATGGTTGAAATTCAGCTGTCTGGAAAAGAAATCATTTTAAAAATTGTTTGCTTCAAATTCCATTGTTTTAAATAAATTAATTAATTAAATTATTCCCTCCTTTCCCCTTTTTTTTTGCTCCAACACTTACCACATGATAATTGATTCTTGGTTCAAATTTCTCAGATTGAATATTAAAATTAAGTCGTTGTTGATCACCAAAATGACCATCAAGATTAGCCATTAATTCATATATCAATTGGCTGCCTTGTTTTGCTTGCCATTCAATACTATAAAATGAAATTCCAAATGCAATATGGTAAAATGTTTGGTAACAAAGCATTTTGTAAAAAATTACTTATCAAAAAAAAAGACATTACAAATAAGCAGCACAATAATAATAATATCTGTCTTACTTGTAATTATCATACTGATATTTGATATGCTTTTTGATAGTTAATGGTTCATTTATGCCAGCAATATTAACTGTCGATTCAATGGTATACTCGTTTACCTGTATTAATACAATCATTTTACCGTTTCTATTTTAATTTTTGATCAGGAATTTTGTAACTAACTAGCAGATATTAATTGATTTGAAAAATTTAAATCAAGAACTTACTACGAGTGACTGATACGATCACTGATGATTAGTAATTTTATTTAATGAATTTATAATCATTATCATTTCGCAAATTTTATAGCTTACTTGAGGACGAAATACAACATTTGACATTGCATCTATCCTGCCATTTGGATCCCATTGTAAGTGTGTTCCCATTTTATACTGACCAATGGTCACTTCATCAATTTGCTTATTCAGTGCTATTTCACGACCAGGAAAACGTAGTAGAATATTTCCTTTGAAGTTCCATTTTGGATCCACCTAAAAAGATGAGATAGATGCTTCCTGCTATCATAACTTTATCAAGTGATAATGTCGCCAAAAAAAAGAAAAAAAAGAAAAACCTTCACAACATATTCTGCTGAAGCATGAATATTTTGTTTTCCTGGTATTTCACTATCAATTTTCAACATAAATTGTAGTGGAAAACGATTTTGATAGATAATATTTGTTTTGCTATCAATACCCAATTGATCACATTTTACCTAAAATTTTTTTTTTTGTTCATGCAAATTTTTATTATCATAAATTTCTAACTCATACATTTTACAAGGTAAATATGATAATCATTCAATTCATCCATTTTAAAGTAAATAAAATGAAATAATTACCTTTCCAATAGCTGTATAAATATTATTAGGTCCACGTGTTACATCTAAATTTACCATTAATTTTCTTCCAAAATATGTTGCTTCTAGCAAATTTTCCATGCTATTTCCGGTACGATCAGAAAGTATTTGAAAATCAAACTTATCAAAAGCTGTACTACTAGCATGAACAGCATGTTTGAAATGATGATTAGTCCCACTTTTCTGAAAAAAATCTTTTTTAACAAAAGTTAAAAAATTTACATAAATTGGGAAAAAAAAATTTTTGTTAAAGTATGACAATGACATGGAGGAATTTTGAAAAGAAAGAAATCCCTTTTAATTTTCTTTTTTTTTTAGAAAAATAATCTTTTCATGTACAGAAGTAATTCCAACAAAAAACAAGGGAAAAAAATTTTATACTTACTTGAAATGCTTGTTCAAGTCCAATTTCAAGTGTACGCTTCGGATAATTATCAATCTGATATTCACCGATTATTGTACCTTTGAAATCAATTATTCCTTGATGAATAATTGATGTATCTAATTTGCCGCTAAAATCAGGTCCAGAATATTCCAGTTTACCTTCATATTTCGGTGCTTCTGGATTTACCAAAGCTAAAAGATGGGTTATTAGATATTGTTTCTCTTCAAATTAATCTTGCTCTGTAGGATTAGAATGACCATATATGACTGGACATTAAGTGGACATTATCTTCACAGCGATATCTCATATGATGGAACTAATGTTAAGAAATTTCATGTAAATCAGAATAATTATTGTACTGTGTAATAAGAGATAACTAAAAAAAGAAATCATGTACTAATTGTCAATAATTTTTAATTGGTATGATTTAGCTTAAATTTTTTTTCTTCAATTTCTTCAGCTTAAATTTGTACAAAAATTAAGAATAAAATTTTCAAGATTCCTTCTCTCCTCTTTAAAATCTCACGTACGTAAATGCAATTTACGTAAGACATTCATATGTACTAAAATAATAAAAAATTCTGAAAGCACAGTACTTCAGATAGCCTTACTTTTAAATATAATTGGTTTGCTGAAGACTTTATACAAATGAAAATCAAACATTGCATAAGGTTTTGCAATGCTATACTGTAATTCTGTTCCAATTTCTGCTACAGTCATACTTTCAACAACACTTCTTGCATCTAACATATACAAATTTCGCTCTCCTATTTTAGTTGCCTGAAAAGAAAACTGTTTCTAATTAAAGTTCTATTCAAATGTATAATTGATCAATAAAAAATATATAATAGATTAATAATATATAGTTGATTAATATAATTAATATATTAACAAATATATAATCGATCAATAATCAAGTACATAATTGATCAATAATCAAGTATATAATTGATTAATATTTTACTCAAGTGCATAACAGATTAACAATTCCATTATTACATTAAATGTACCATTAATAGTTCATTAAAAAAAGATATGTATATATGAAATAAAATAAACAAAGAAAATTATTGTCACCTTTAGTATGCCATCAAGAATGTAAACTTTGTCATCTACAGTAAGTTTAAGACTGGTTGCATAATCTTGCAATTGTTCCATTTGTCGTAAATTACCATCTAGTATAATCGTTTTGAATGGAGTAGTAATACCAAATTTAAGTTTTTTCGTGGAATTGAAATTTCAAGATCAGCTTCAATTTTTCGATTTATTTCCGATCCTGGTGTGTCCATACGTATTAATAGTTTTTGCTCGCCTCTCTAAAACTACTAATCTATAATTATAATTAATCTATAATTAGCTAATCTATAATTAGCTAATCTATAATTAGCTTAATTACTACATGATTAATACAAAAAAAAGGAAGGAATCATGTTATAACTGGTAGACATTGCTATTCTGGAATTCCGGTTTTGTACCGAAATCCGAATTAATGAATCCGACAGGATGATTGGTGTTCATTTCATTGTTCAAAATGATGAAACTTACATCATTGGTTCTTTCTAAAAGAAATTGATAGTTGTTCAACTGACGATCAACTTTTTCCACTTTAATACTTCCTTCTATTATTGGAAAATTAGAACGGAACTGAAAAAATTTACAAATTTAAATTGCAGAAATGTAGGAAAAATTCTTATTCAAATTATAAATTGGATCAGTAAAAGAAATTACATCGACACACGCTTGAATTCCAAGAATTTTTGCCAGATTATCACCAGAACAATAGTGTTTTTCAACCATTTTATGTGTATTTCGTGTAATAGTGAATGGTTGGTGATGATTACTTTCAATCTTTATGATATCATGACTGAAAAAAAAATCGTATTCGTTGTCACTTACTTAATTTTTATTCTATATTAGAATATTTTACGACAATTAACAAGTGACCTTCTCAAAAGTTCATAAATCATAAGTCATACTAGAATGAGATTATCATCTCTTCCCAAAAAAGTTCATAAATCATAGATCATACAAGGAAAGAATGTGCTTATTATTTGCAATGATCACAATAATGCTGGATAAATCGTGGTAATTTTTCAAAAATCACAATCAATCATAACATTGATCAAAAAAAAGAATCAATTATAACATTGATCAATATGAGATATTTACCGTATTTTCGTAATCAAAAGATTCTTGTTCGGAACATCAATCTTCAATGATAATTTTCTTCTCTCACTCAATTCCATACTGTGTACAATACTTGTTGCAGAATGCAAACTTAACTTTACCATAGCACCAGATGTTACATGACCCGCACGTAAAAGTACTGCACCTCCTCTTGCAATTGATATTGATGGACGTAAATCAAGCTAAAAATGCAAATATGATCGGAACGAAAATAAAAAAAGAACAAAACAATCGTGATGGCAAAATAGCTTTTAATTAAAATAATAAAATTTAGCTAAATTAAAAAATTTTTTAATTTAACACTCATTATAACGGTATCACTTACATAACCGTTCGCGCCAACTTTTCGCTGCAACAAATCCGCAAGATTTAGTCTTAATTTACCGTCTATTTTGGCGGCAACTGATACATTCAGCAGGAATTGAAGTGGTAATCCGGAAAGTGTCGGGAATGTTTGTGACAATTCAAACGGAAGGATATAACGTGAAAGCTGCAAATAATCATGCATGAAATGCATGTTAAGAAATTCGTTTAATAATTTCGAATGTCCGAAATAAATTAACAATTTATGCAACAGAAATTAAACCAAGCAAGAATTAACTTAAAATTAAAATTAATGGAAAATAACATGGATTAGAAGAAATGACCAATACGGTCATTCAACTGAAAAAATAAAGTTCATCCTCATCATCGATATCAACATGTGAAACTTAGATTAGTTAGTAGTGCTGTGAGTTGTAAAAACTACAGCCAATCATACAGTAATCTTTCTACAGCCTGTCTCACAGTAAAGCTTTTTTACAGCCTGCGCCACAGTAATCTTACAAACTTTTCTACGGCCTATCTTACAGCAACCTGGAAACCCTTTTGCTCGCCTTACAGTAACCCTGAAAAGCACTTTACAACCCGTCCTATAGTAGCCTTGGAAACCCTTTTACAGCTTGTCCTACAGTAATCTTAACATTTCTACGGCCTGTCTCACAGTAACCTTGTATAAGCTAGTTTTGCCTTATGTCACTGATATTTAAATCATTCGCTGATCTGATTTTCTGACCCAGCCCATTCCTTGTTGAAAATTAGTTAATCTAAAATTAAACAAAGTAACTTTCACCTTTCTTGTCTTCTCTTGCATCAATTTTGCCAACACTTTATCAATTTCAATACTTTCCTTCACTTCCTCAAGAAATTGATGCTGATCCCTTTGAAAACCATAATAATGTAAATCATCACCAAACATCTGAAGATACGAGAGAATAAAACTACTTACCTGCTTCTCTCAAACAATAATAGCTTACGATAAAATACAGTATCCTCCGTGGAATTACGGTAATCATCATCAATAAATTACCCTGACATAAAATGTCACTCTTATTGGATGTTCACCATTTTTCCTTATATACCGTTCCTTCAAATGATTCAGTTTGGGATATCGTGATTGAAATCTTTTTTCTCGAAAGATATGTCCATTAGGATTACTAATATAACCATCAGGACCAAATAATTCCTCCTCCGCTTCCTCCAGACCTTCAGCTCGTGCACCAACTTCCAAAATATTGATACTGTAAAAAAAAAGTCTGTTAACATTAAAGCTTATGATAAATTGAAAAATATAAAGTTTTTAAATATTTGATATAGAAATTATTAAAAAAAAACAAAGATAACAAGGTCAGACTACTAAAAAAAAAAGGTCCAATACGATAGCAATATTTGATTTTACTGAATTTATGATTAAACATTAAAGCATAATTATATCATACCTTTGTCTTGTTAAAATATATATCTAGTCTAAATTTTTATCATTTTTTTCCATTAAATATGCATGAAATTTTCTTGATGACCGATTAAATAAATGGTCAAATGGTCATTTCATTTTTCCTTAGATGAAATCATCATCCATCAATTAATTTTTAATACAGTAATTTTGGCTGTTTTATTTCTACTTTTTAGCATGAGCAAAACTGCAAAATTTTAAAGTTCCATAACCTTTTCCCAAAAAGATGAGCAGTAAAATTAAATGCTACTTGACGTGGTATGTATCCATTTGGTACAAATAAGACGGAACTATCCATATGGCCACCATAATTATTCTAAAATGATTATTATGATCGAAATTGATAGAGCTGAATTAAATTAGTTAATCAGTATTGTTTTAATAGTATCATTTGAAAAGATATTGCCATTTTCTACCTATCAATTGTTATTCAAGCGACACCATATCCATTGTGACGATTTGTATGATAATTAATAACAAATTAAATAATGAATTAAAATTTGTATCATAATAATCATCCTTTTATGCGTAGAACAAATTTTTGATTCTTAACTAAAATTTAATTCCACTAACAATTCAATTAGCAAATGCTATTGTGTGATAAATTGTATTTTAAGAAAATTTTGGTATTTTAGTAAATTTCTAATTATTCTTACTAGCAAATCTTTTTTTAGTAATATCTGTGAACTTATTTTTGACAAAATTAAGAAATAATTCGAACAAGCAAGAAATTGTCCATTTCAAAACTTTATAAAAAGAAAATCAAAGCAATGTTTGAATAAAAATTATTACTTCTCTATCAAAATATCCTAATTCATAGTAGCGTGAAAAACGATTTGAATCTAAATTATAACGTTGTGGAAAATGAAATCTTTTGAGGATATGTTGCAAATTACGAATTCCTGGATTTGTTGATCGTTGTTTAGAATTCATATATGACCAAACATACGATCCAACTGTAAGATAAATTGCATAAATTTTGATCAATTATTAATTTATAATTACTTTTTCCCATTAATGTGATACATTAAAATCAATGTTATTGTAATAAACTATTTGCCAAATTCAATATATGTATTACAAATGATATACAGGATATCGTCCTTATTTTAAATATATACAGGTATAATTAATTAATTAATTAGCATAAACTGTTATTATCTCGATGAGGTACTATAATATTGTCAGCTACATGCAGGTAGCATATAAATGTCATACAGGATATCGTGTGCATTTAAAAATATATGCGATTTAATTAATTAAAATAAGTGATTAATCATGTTTCATCTTGATAATATACCACACATATACCACACAGATAATATATGTTTAATTATGAAATGGAAATTATTTATTAAACAATTCATAAGTTTATCAAACCTTGATTAATTGTTTCATTGTGTAATTGTTCCACAATAATTTCCAATATTTCATCATTTGCGCATTCCATCAATTGTCGAAATGATATTATTCGTACTTCTGGATTTTCCTGGAAATAATCAAATATTTGTTTGTTATAAAATTCATTAATTACTTATCATATATTTAAAAAAAAAGATATAGCTTATAAGGATGAAATGACGGTAAAAGAATAGAAATAGGAAATAGCAAAAATGCTTACTATTTTATTAGTTAATGAAAATTTTATTTTAAAGATGATAATTTTTAACCTGAAACCAGAAACATTGATAGTGTTTTTTTTCTTTGCAACCTTTTATCTAAGATACAAATTGAAATTCAATAATTTAATTAATGAATGAATTAAATAGAATACAGTTATTCATAAAAAGTGAAAAAGTGATAAAATGTAATAATCAATAAATGAATTAAATAGTGTACAATTTGTTTGTTCAAAGAATATTTAAATTTTCATTCCTGTCGAAATCCTGCTACTTTATAATAATTTAATTAATGATATATTAAAAAAAAAAAAAGTTCAAATAATTTCAATGGAACCTTTTGATCACGGAATAATTCAATAATTTTGCTATTTCGTTGATCACTACAAGGTTTCCGACGTAAAGCATCAATTGCAGCAATTTTTACATCAATTGAAATTCGATCATTTGCAATGCAAGCTAATATAGCTGATAAAGAATGCTCTTCATAACCAATATTTCCAATTGATTTCAATATTATCACCGTTTTCTGGAAATTAATTGTATTTTTTTTTTTATGAAAAATAAATGTAATTTTATCATTGATATTGATAAAATTATTTGTAATATTTCTCACTTTAATTTCTTCAAATTCTTCTCCAATATAACAATTAGGAGGTAATTTAGATGAAATACTATGTATGATACGTTGTATTGTTGTTTCCATACCACAATTTGGATGAGCAATACAATATGATTGTACCAAAGATGAAACAGCCAATAAACCTATGTAAAAAGATTCAAATATTTTTATCAAAATTTAATTCTAATCATTGCTATCATACTTTTCAATTATTTTATTTTAACCTTAAAATTAATTTCGTTTTTGAATTTAAATTTAAATTACAATTTTGAAATTCTTAAATATACCATTTGATAATGATATCAGTAAATTTTACCATAAAATGGAACTTTATCAATAAATGCTGCAACAGAATCCATAGTGCTTTTTTTTGGATTTGATAATAATGCTAATGAAGAATAAACTGATTCAGAAGCCGTTCCTGAATTGATCAAATTGCTAAGTTGTAGGAGACATGGATGTGAAGCACAAGCTGGTAAAGCATCAATAAAAGCATCACATTGTAAATTAGCAATTGATGATAATTCCATCGTTGATAATCCTCGAAGATGATATATCAAATCAGCAAAATGAGATGCTGCCTAACAAAATAAATCATTCATTTCTTTAAAGTATGAAATAAAAAAAAAAAAGAAATACTAAAATGATGTTACGGATATATATATATATGTACATATGGCAAAGGTAGAAGAATTTTTTTCCGGATAGCATATACACTTACATCCGGACCAACATGATCATCCGATTGACATAATTCATCGATGATTTTTTTAGCAAATTGAGGTGAAGTTTCTTTTGCATTAAAATTATCATCAGTGTGATCAAAAATGATTGATAAGCGTTTTTTAAATATTTCTTGCGGTGCTGCATTTGCAATTCCAACAGCTCGTAATGTTTGCTCAACATGTAATGTTCCAAGATTACCTTCACCATATGGTAAGGTAACACGATAATCTTCATTACAACTTACCTATAAATTTTGAATAATTAATATTTTACATTGAAATGATTATTATTAATACTGCGTGGATCAAAGTTTTAGCTAATCAGTTTTATCAATTGTATGGTTATATTTATCACGCTGCATTGTAAGCGTGACTTTAATGGTCATCAAATATAGATCATTGAAGTTATTATTTAAATTAAATTAGATTGATAAGCTTTAAAAAAAGAAACTATCAGTAATACATACCAATTAATCTATATCAAGTTATCATTTTTTTATCAATTGATATTTATCTGACAAAAAAAAACCTAGTGAAAGAAATATTAAACTATAAAACTTTACAACTACTATTAGTTCCTTGTTTACTACAATAATGTAACTCACCTGTTGAAGGTTACCTTGAGCAATTTGACGTTCACATGTTTGTTTTGTTTCCATTATTGGTATTGCTTGTATTTTCTAAAGTTATACGTTTTTGCTACGGTTGCTTAACTAAATGATTTTCGGAATGATCCATATCCGGAATATTATGATCATGAATCTAACCGATTCCAGTCTATATGGAACAGCTCAAACTTTAATCATACAGTGAATTATTTTGACATATCAGTTAAACATCTTATTCCGTCTATCAGTCACGTTCTCATGCGGTTGCTCAACTAAATGATTTTCGGAATGATCCATATCCGGAATATTATGATCATGAAACTAACCGATTCCAGTCTATATGGAATAGCTCGAACACCAACAATATCATGCTCACGATAGCATGCATTTAACTGTTTTGTTGTCTTCAAGTTCAACATTTCATTCGTTTTTTGTTTCTCAATAGTCACCGGACAATCACCGGATATATCAGTTTCTCTTATCCCTTCTAATTAAATCAGTACTAATTAGTATAAAGAATTTTTATTTACATGAAATGGTTTGGCCTATTCATGGATTGAAAGCTTACTTAAATGCTAATATCACTATGCCAGGCCTTTTTCAAGTCATACTTCCGTACAGCACTATGTGACAATTTCTTATAGCCTTTTCTCTGAGTTTTAGGAAAAATTTTCAAAAAAAACTAAAAGAAAACATTGAAAATATTCTTTTTTAACGGTTTAAAAAAAAAAACTAAAAAGTAATAGTAAAATTTGAAATTTCCGATAATAATAAAAGTAGTGAAATGGAAAATAAAAAGAACTGAAAATAGAATTTAAAAAGAAAAATAAACTTAAAAAGAAACGAAAACTTAAAACTGACCATGTTTAGTTTGAAAAGCAGATAGAATAGCACGTTTGATATTAAGAGCCCAGATTGGATCAGTATCATCTGGACAAATTGCTTTCACTTCTCCATCATCAAATGCAAAACGAAGTGATGACCTTTCAAGTATATAACTCCAATCACTTCCTACATCCATTCCTCTTAGTGATGTTCGTGTCAACTAAATCATGTTCATTTTTAGAATGAGAATAATTATCTTTCTTTCATTTTTTAATTTTCATATTTTAATGGATAGAAATTAGCATCGATCAAGTGTGGAAATTCTACAACAATTATGCTTTTTGCTTTTGTAATTACGATTTATTTTTGAATGCAAAACAATTTTATCAAGTGGTAACGATAAATTCACGTGACACAACTGTATATGATAAATTCACGTGACACAACTGTATATGATAAATTCACGTGACACAACCATATATGATAAATTCACGTGATACGATTAGATACGGCAAATTTACATGATAGATTAGATACATAAATCCACATGACACAACCAGATACGATAAATTCACATGACATATTAGACATTTATGCGATGCGATTAGATACGGTAAATTTATGGTAGATTAAATACGATAAATTCACATGATATAACCAGATGTGATACGATTGATTCACGTGATACGATGTGATAAATTCAATTACATCACATATGATGTCCGTGATTTTAGTCTTAAGAACTTGGCTATATGTGACGAAATTGAATTTATCGTTATTCATAAATTTATCCATACATAAATTTATCATATCATGTGATATAATTATTTTAATGCTAAAGTGACTATTACTCTTACGGTTAGGATGATAAATATTATATGAAAGAAGAAGGTATGATGTGATAATCAATGACGAAAGTATATATTGGATTCCTGTAAGATTAAGTCTCGATGAGACACACAAACTTTTCATACCTAAACACTCCCAAATCATTTTTTTTTAATTTCCAATTAACTTCATTAATTAGGATGACAAATGTCGTCCTTTTTTTCATTAATTTCTCTTCATATTCATTAATTTAATCAAATTCATTAATTTTCCTTCAAACTCACTAATTAGTCAAGTTCATTAGTTTAGTCCCTAATTAATCTCATTAATTACAAATTAAAAATAAATTAATTAAGAATGTTTAAGCACAAAAAAAGTTTAGCATTGTTTAACTTTGGATTTAATTAAAATTGACAAGCATATTAGAAATTAAATAATATATTATAAATCAAGAATTACTTTGAGTGAAAATTCGCACGATGAATGAACTGATATATGCACTTGAGCATTTTGTATCACATCCGTATCACGTTCTTCACCAATTTTCAGAATTGTTCGAGATGTTACATCAAAAACATAACTACGACCTATATCATATTTCACTTCCGATGATACACCTAAAATTTACTAATTGCTTACAAGAGAGAAGAAGATTATTATATGGTGATAAAGATAATTGAATAAAACAAAAATCTGCTTACTTATAATAATTGCTTGTCATATAAATTCATTCATATTTTGAGGACGAATTCACCATATTCTCTATCATATTTTATAAATTTTTTATGCAGAAATTAAATTTTGGAAAAAAAAATTACTTCAACTTTTTTTTAATTGAAACAAAATTTTCACATTAAATTTTCCAACAACTTTTTATGGAATTCAATTATTAAAATTTGGTTGAGTGGAAAAAAATATGTCAAATTATATGCTAAGATAAAGTAAGGTTAACGATGATGAATTGTTATCATTCGATCTGTTCATTTCACAGACTGCGAATAATCTAAGCAAAAAGAAAAACGGCTAGCAATGTTTATCCTGTCAACTGGATTCATTTTGCAACATTACCGGATGATGTGCTATATTTTAATTACTGAAAAATTACTAATAACTTACTTTACATCTAGCACTGTACAAAATTCAACAACTTAACAATTTTACTCTAATTTACTCTAATACGAATTTACTGAAAGCTACTCTAAATTTAACAAATTTACTTAAGTTAATTTAATTTTTATGCATTTTCATTTAGCATCTTTTATGTATTTCGTAATGTTAGCAGAAAATCAATATTTTTCAAAGAAATTTTTATTTGTAATTATTGAAATTTGTTAAAATTTTTGATTACTTTTTATTACGTACTAATAAATCAGAGGAATCATTCATTTGGAATCATCGTACAAAAAGTTTTGTTTGCACACATTTTCATACTTCGTTTTTTTCTCGACAAATGCAAGTGATCACTTTAAATTTATCTAATTTTTTTTTTTTTTGAACACATTGATGAATAATGTATAACGAAAATATTACTTCCTTATCAGTCATTATCATTCTGATAACAGCCGACTGAAACTAAAAGTCATCAAAATTGCTTAATAAATTATGAACTAAAAATTTTTCATCATTATTAAATTTATTTTACTTTCATTTTTTCTTTTTTTTTGCTTTTTTTCCTCTTTTCCTTTGTCTGAAATTCATTTTCAATTAGTTTTGTTTTCATTTTCATTTTATTGTCCCTTTTTTTTTCTTTCTCATTGCTTAGAATTTCATGCCAAATAAACACTAAAATGGAAATTTATTACTGTAATAGAAATTTATTACTGTAATAAATTTATTTTAGTAGAAAAGAAAAAGAAAAAGAAAAGACTGATAGAGAAAATCTCATCAGTTTCTTTATTTTCAATTGAGAATAAATTTTGCTAAAAGATTTCTCGGGTAGTTTTTTTCTCCCGCCTATAACAGTAATTTTATTTGGTATTTTTAGCTCTATATGAATTACTCAAAACAAGATTAATTATAAATAAAGTAATCAATTATATTTAAACAATTTAGGTAGTACATTATAAATATTTGGAGGAATAAATGCATTATATATCATACCTGTGCATGCTATTGCGCAAGCATCGTTTGCAGCAGCATAATGCTTGTTATCATCATATGCTACTAAAATGATATGATAATTTGATTAGCAATTATTTATTATAAAACACTCATTTATTCAATAATCAGCATGAATGTGTAATAGGAAACTGTTGTCTTACTTTTAATTTTCAATATAAAATTGATTTTTTTTTAATTAGTGAAAAAAATTTTTAAAAAAAAAAGAAACATTCTCTTACAAACTTTAACGGAAGTAATAATTATTGTTACTACATAAGCAATTAAAATTTTAATAATTATAATAATAGTAGCTATTTTCATATAAAAAAAAATTTATGAAGAAAAATTACCTGCCGAAGTGATAATAGCATGAAGAAGAAGCAACCATTCAAGGTGCATCACTATTTGATAACTGTTTGAAAGAAAGCGATGATAAAGAGCAATGATTAAGCTTCATCAACCATATCATTTTGATAATTTTTCAATATCATTCCACTCAATATCAATTAATGAAAAATTCAAATAATCAACTATTGATAGCAATAATATTACATGACATGATTATCAATTCTGTTCGTACACAAAGAATGCTGAATGTAAGATCATACAAATGATCATGTAGAATTATCATAAGGATATCAGAATTATCAAGAATGTTGATAAATGGACATGATCATGTAAATAATCATATAGATGGAAGGAGACAATGCTCAGAAAGACATCCAAAGTTGTCCATTGATGGTGTCAAAAAAAAACAAGAAAAAAAAAGCATGCATATAGGTGCACGCCAATACAATTTACAAATTCTAGCTGACTATCTGAAGGTATGTGAACACGTAACACGTAAAATAGACACGTGTAATTCTTTCTATAACATTAAAATTTCATATCTTACATTTAATACACTTAAAGACAAATATGCTTTATCCATCAAATTCACTTTAATATTCCATTTGTTTGCTTTTTAATACCAAATTGTTTTACTTCTTCATAGTTTTATTTGTTTCGAAATTTTATTTACGTCAAATATACGTGTGTTACACGTACATGCATAAATGTATAAGTTAGGATTTCATTGACAAACGCACATATATACACGTACACTTATGTATATTGATGGTTTAAAATTTTTTTTTTTTTTGATCAGAAATCACTTTGGCTTCCCGATTTGTAGTAAAGAACATAAGGTTCAAAAAATAATAAATTTTTTAACCAAAACTTTAAAAATAAACTTCGGAAACAAAGTTTAAAATAAACTGGGAATGAACTTTAATCAAAGTTTAAACTTCAATCAAAACTTTTAAATTAACTAAATTTAGAGTAGCATTGTAATATGAAAAAGAAGGAACCCTTTAAATGTGAAATTCGATTTAGTTTTCAATTCAATTTCAGTATTTAAGTATTTGAGCCTACATTTCATCTAATTTTAAGATTAATATTATTACTATAAACTTCACGCAACAATTACTTGCTTCTAATCGACTTCTAATTTTATTTTTAATTTTCTATGTTTCCTTAATTTCTGTTTGCAGAATCTAACAACTGCAAGTTAAGCTTATTTAAATGTACGAAAATATTCACATCATAAGATAAGCTAACTACGCTTAACTTATCAGATCAGAAAACTACTCCAGTAAATTTTTAATTCTTGGTTAGAAACAAACTCATCTTCTTCTCTTCAACTTCGTTCGTATAACTTTCCCAGTATATTCGTTTTTCGGATACTGGTGCGGAAAACAAGTTTATTTCATGATCAGAATTCATATTTTAGCGCCAGTTTTTTTTTTAAAGGCGTATATTTAACCCACTTTTTTTTGATGACAATGACCACTTTTATGGTCATTTCCATTACATTAACAAGACATTTAGGAAGTCTTGGAAAATAATGACCGATGATTTATGGTACATTGAGTTATTAATGCAAATGGAATCCTCTATTTTATTAATGTTGCTAAACCGGGATATGGTCCAACATATCTGGAACGCTTATCCGTATGGGCAATTGGTCAATTTTTCCCATACAGTGTTGTGTCTCGCAAAATATTCAGCTATTATATTCATTACGTCGATAACGTATTCTTGACGTGTTCCACGTTTCCAATCTCCGTAAAATCAATAATTCCTCTTTAATGGTGTAGTTGACGTTTAAAAAACGGAAAAACCAAGTAACTCTGAATAGGATTAAAAAAATCTGTCCATTTATTAATTTTTGAAATGAATGTCATTTGACATTGTCTCCTCAAATCGATCTTTTATCTTGCGTCATTCCAAATACTTCTGTATTTCGTGTATTTCCTGTTTAGCTTGCATCTCAAAAACTTCTTCGATAGCTTTTATCAGACAAGATTTCACGAATTTTTGATTTCACTAACAATTTTGATATCTCAAATAATACGACTAATGTTTTTTCTTTTTTTTAGCGATAACGCAAAATTTGATACCAATAAGCTCGAGTTTCATCTTCTCCAGATTCCCTAAGGTTGGTTCAATAAATTAGAAGTGGTCATTTCTAAGTGGTATTTTAATTCTGATAACTTCAAAAACATCATTTCCGAGAACGATGGCGCATTTGAAGCATTATCATTTTATTTTTTCATTACTTTCAATCTAGGTAAATCCGAATTTAATATAATTGTTATCGCATTTTTTGAAAATAAAACAATAAAAGAGTGATTTGAGGGTGATTCTCGCGGCTTGGAGACGCTTCTTTTTCAGGTTTTCGGATTACTGAAATTAATATTATGTCAAAAATAAAATTATTACAATATTATAGGATAGGTGGAGGTAGAGAGGGAGAGAGAGAGCGAATCGATCGGATAGGATGATGAAATACTGTAAGTAAAACTGAAACGAAGAGGAAGATAAAAACTAATAATAAGGGGACGTTATAAAGGGATTTCGATACTTTACAATGTTCCAAACCGAATAAAACTGTTGCTCACAAACAAAGAAGGAAAAAAGCGCAAAAGAAACACAACCCCCACCTATTTTTACCACGCCCTCTCAGATCGTCATTTGGAAACCACTAATGATGATATTTGGGAAAGTGACATTTAGCGTCGGAATTGATTTTTTTCATAACAGTCTTTGTGTGGTATAACGCAATGATGCTTGAAGTAAACCAAACGAAGTTTTGGAAACATTATCGGTGGGGGGTCAAGGGTTAAGGATCACAGGATAGCGGGAAAGGCGGGTGTTTTCCTGATAGAATTTTGTTTGAGTAAGGTAATGAATAGGTTGACATTGTTATACTGTTTCGACTGGTGATACTGTTTCGACGTTGCTATATAAAGTATGTGTGGTTTTTGTTTTTTTCAAATTATTATCAACATTGGGTAAGAAATGATTGTTATAAATATGTTAAATGCTAACGTATTATTCAAAATTTACAGTTGAAATGGGTGTTCCTAAATTTTATCGATGGATTAGTGAGCGTTACCCATGCTTAAGTGAAGTGGTTCAGGATGAACAGGTTAGTTTTCATGTTGTATGTTTTGATTGTTGGATGTTATTAGTTAGACACTTTTCCACTTATTCGCCTTTTTCTTTGCAAATTATCTTGCTTCATACATTTTCATGTAATAATAGGATGTTAACTTCTGGATATTTTCTGGAAACTTGCAGTAAAATTCAGAAACAGTTTTGAGTGTTGATCATCTAAATAGATAAGTCGAAATCATGAGATCTCGATATCCAATTGAATAAATTGAAGTAACACATAAACGATAGTAATCCTCAATAATTAGGTCACTGTTACAAAATGAGAGCAAACGTGTGTGATTTCAGATTCCGGAATTTGATAATTTGTATTTGGATATGAACGGTATAATTCATAGTTGCTCTCATCCGGATGATGAGGATGTTTCGTTTCGAATTTCTGAGGAGGAAATATTCCGTGATATTTTTAATTACATTAATGTAGGTGAAATTATCACGATTCAATTATTTCATTTTGCATACAACAAATGGTATTTTACGACTTTTGCTTATAAATTATTTCAGTTTCTTTTTGGTATAATTAAACCGAGGAAAGTTTTTTTCATGGCTGTTGATGGCGTAGCACCACGTGCTAAGATGAACCAACAAAGAGCGCGACGTTTTATGTTTGTTTCTTATTTCGTATTTTTCAATTTCCGCTGCATTATTCATTAAATTATTTATTGTATTCTTCCACTATTTTACTCCCTTGACGTTATGCATAACCATAATTATTTTTTATATTTATTGTTTGAACAACCGAAATGGTTACTTCAGAACTGGGTTTTTCCAGGACTGTAGGAGTTCATAACATTATTATGATGGAGGAAAGGGTATACAGTTGTTATATAGTAACACTAAAATGAATACATTATTTTTATTTCGTCTTTGAAGGTCTGCGAAAAATGCACAAGAAGCTATGAATAAGGCAAGAAAGAATGGGGTGAAAATTCCGGATGAAAAGCCATTTGATTCGAATTGCATTACCCCAGGTTCGTTCACTGTCTTTGTGATGTTTTTTGGAATAGTTCATGTTTCTGATACTTTTAATGCAGCAACATGCACTGCTTCAGGAAGAACTACTGTGTGCTTTTTTCTTTAAAATAATCCATAATTAAAGATCAGCTTTAATTGGTAACAATGTAGTAGCAAAGAAGCCGTCCTGAAACCCTTTGGTATTCTGAATATAATAAGGGTTAAATGCGTATAAATGCAGAATATAACGAGGATTGACTAAATATTAGTACAGACGTTATTAGAATAACGTTAAAGATTCATATATCATCAACGCTTGTTTGATTGGATTAATTAAGGTACGCATTTTATGGCTCGTCTCCATGAACAGTTGCAGTATTTTGTGCAAATGAAGATTACTACGGATAGTTGTTGGCAAGGATTACGGATATATCTTTCTGGTCACAATGTTAGTCATACTTAATATATACTTTTGTCAGGAAATGTATTCACATAAACTTAGCTTTTTTTTTCCTTTATTACTGGAAAAAGTAAAATATGGGGTGCAAGAATTGTAACGGAAAATATAGAAATGGACACAATTCTAAACTGAACGTTTTGTTCAGAATGAAAAGCAATCGTTTGAAATTCAGATTAATCCAATTTTTATGGTTGACATCCTTCGGATGTTGGTAATTTGTTGTTTTCATTGGATTGGTATATTTCATGTGATCTTTTATCAAGCCTATAGTTTGCAGTGTCCTGGAGAAGGTGAACATAAGATAATGGATTTTATACGTAGTGAAAGAAGTCGTTCTGATTATGACGCTAACACAAGACATTGCCTCTATGGTCTTGATGCAGATTTGGCAAGTTTCCTTCAAGTTTCTAATAGCATATGGGAGAATTGATGAAAATAATTATAATATTTTCAATATATTTAGATAATGCTGGGAATATGTTCACATGAGCCTCATTTTGCTTTACTGCGGGAAGAAGTGAAATTCGGAAGACAAAGGAATCATAATGGGAAACATAAGTCAGTTTTTAGCTTCATGTATTCGTCAGTTTGGAAAATTGTGGTTAGTGTGTGACTGTCAGATAATAAAAATTTTGGTCTGAGAGCAATGAGATTTTTCTGATACTGCCTGTACAAAAATTTCTAGCT